CTGGAGCCGGCAACAAATTGAATCTTTACCAGAAGCTGAAAGAACCACTGCATAACATTAAAAATATTATACGTCCTTGTAGAAGACAGACAGAATTTTAAAAAAAAGAAAAAAGAATTAGCCATCTATCGCTAAAACACAATAAGCAGAAATAGCCTCTTTACCTGCCGGGATTCCTGTCCTCCACAATCTTTTCCCAATCTCCCTTTCCAGTTTGGCTTCTAAACACCTTCACACTATCCCTTCAGCTGAACTGCATTATTCTGTGCCCAAATAAGAAATGTATTTTCTCCTAGAAAAGAGCAGTTGTTTTTTGATTGGGAAGTCTTCCTCAATACCTCCCTACAGGACTAGTAACTTCCTCTGCTATCGCATAGCATTTTGTTTGGTATTTATTTTCTATTCTCTCTCTCTCAGACTTTACTGTAAGATGTTTGCAAAACGAACCTTCCCTTCTTTACCCTGGATTCTGTAATATAAAATAGTGAAACACATAATCTCTAGAATGAAGTGAAGTCATTGTGAGATAAACACTTGCCATTGGAAATAATTTAATTAAATAATTGAAGAGTGCACTTTGTACATGTCCATGATAGTAAGACCCATGATGCTTTTTAATAAATAAGCAAGAAGGAAGAATTGGTTGAGGTTTGCTGTTGTTGGTTAGTTGGCTGGATGGTTGTTATGTTGATGGTGATGGTTGGTTGTTTTGGTTTATATGTAAGGACACAGTGACACAGAGTGATTAAAGAACTTTAATGTCATTAAACAGCTCATAAAGTGAAATGGTCATAACCTGAACCACTGTCTCTTGATTCCTGGTAAGCCACATGCTTTTACTCATTTATTTTACATAGTGTAATTCACTCTCAATAAGCCACAAGATTATGTCCACCCTCTGCAAATTTTCTAAAAGCAATGATAAAGAAATCAGGAGAGCTTCGCTCCCTTGCAGAAGAAAGCCCCAAAGGCAGGCAATGTGGTATAAAGGAAAGAGCTCTGCTTTTGGAATAAAGACAGCCTTCAAAACTCAGCTCTATCAGGCAAGCCATCATGAGTACTGGTAACTGAAGCCACTCCCTGGCTCTTCGCTTCCTAAATTATAAAAAGGGATGTAAGAGTCTCTACCCTCCACTCCCATCACAGTGTTTTCTGTGACGTTAATAATAATGTGCGTGAAATCTAGCCTTGCGCCTGGCACATAGTTAACTGTTTGTTGACCTTGAAATAAAAAAGCTGTCTTCTAAAGATCTGTGTGTGTGTATGTGTGTGTGTGTGAGAAAGGGTGCACGTGTGTGTGCATTTGGAGAAGAGAGTTCATTGCTATCATTTTCAATGTGGCCTGTGCAGAAAATAATTTTGATATGGCAATATTTTAAAATTCATCATATTATATGTGGCACCATTCTAACCACCTCCCCAACTTGGAATCACAAGTTCCAAATATTTATTTCTACTCTAAAGGCAGCTTTCTCAGTTCAGCTTCTTAGCATGCTGCCAACAAAACACACCGGAAGAGAAATGTGTGACAAGTTGAAGTTTGCTTTTGGGATTCTTGCAGAGAAGAAGGGCTTTGAGTTTAGTACTGGAAACGTTTATTTCTGTAAGAAGCAAAAATGGGAATATTGAGTTTTGAGCTTACATTACAGTGATTTTCCTCCTGGAAAAAAAAAAATCTTTGGGAGGGAGGGGGTAGTGGTAAAAAGAATAAAAATACTTCTTATCTAGAAAATATAGAAATCTATTACTGAGTGAGTCTTTAACAGTTAGCTAAACCCATGCCTCCTTGGATATCAATTTTTTTTTCTTAATTATTATATGCTGGTAGAGTCCATGGGGAATGTATTTGGTAAAAAAAAATGCATCTTGGGAACTGGGGAACTAAGAACCAGGTTGAAGTCACAGTTATGTTACATATTAGCTGTATGACTTTGGGTAACTCACTTAACCACTTTGATCTTAATTTCCTTATCCAAAAAAAGGAATTATAACAGCTTGACTGCTCCACAGTTTGGTAGTGAGAATTTAATGCCATAGAATATGTAAAATGCAAAGGGAACTTTATTTCAGCAAAGGAAACTTTATCATCACCACTATAACTACCGTATTATGATTATATTATCATGTTATACTTATCTAAGCTTTAAGTCCTTAAAAGAAAGCAAATGCTGGCTTTGGATTATTCGCTTGTATCACCACCAGGGATGGAATGTTGCTCTCACGTTCCAGAGTGAAGAAGGAAATCACGGTACTGCTACAGAAAGATTATATTCTCAAGTCAGAATTGTGTGACTTGAAGTCCAGTCACTGCCTTTGAGATGCACTGCATGGAACTAAAGCTCTTATGTTGTTATAATTCCTTTTTGAAAATCTGGGACTTTCCTTAAGAGAAGAGTCCACATGGAGGAGCCCAGACAACAAGACAAGACTCTTACTAATAGCACAGGCATGTACAGAGCTGTAGGGTTTTCAGGCTATTTCTCCTTTGCTCCTCACATCAGTCTTGCGATTTCACTAGCATGGGTACCTGAAGTGCAGGAAGAGCCCCACAAAAGAATAACGAGTCCACTGTTGTCTGCACTATTGCAAGAGGCACGATGCATGAGAGGTTGGTTGATCCCCAGCATGTGCGTTGATCCCTTTTTTCCTCTCCTCCTGTAGCCCAGAGCCAGTTGCTCCTTTTATTTTTGTCAACAACGCTTCCTTTTTGTTCCTCTCCCTCCAACTAGGAAGTGTATCACTGACATAGACACAATATACCTTTTCATAAGGAAGGCAAATGAATATGGGCCAGATGGGCTGAGGGCATTACAACATGTTTCCTGCTCCCATGGTGACTCAATGGGGCTGGTATGAGAACTTATCTTATTCAAGAAGGCAGCTTCCCCATCAGAATTATGAGTCAGTTCCTGGGTAGAAAGCTTACTTTCCAGCAGCATTTGTGGGGAGTCGGGGGGAGGGGGGTAATCCTTGGCTGGATTACAGTAAAGTTCATTCAGAAAAGCAATGTTACCAGGACAGATGGGGAGGCATCGGCACCCACTAACTTGTGAGACTCCACTGAGCTCTAACAAGAGTGACAAGGGAACTTCTCCCTTTTCCTTCAAGGTGAGGACATAAAACCACAGTGATGAATTACTGGTATAAATCCAAACGAGTTCCATTATAAAACTGGCCAATCTGAGCAACAAAGGATGTGAAGAGACATTTTTTTCATTCTCTCTCTCTCTCTGTCAATCTTTACTCCAAGTGTCCAAGTATTTGGGTCACAAAAAAAATGGACAAGTCCCTGTCCTCAGGCAGCTTAAAAGCAGAGAAATAGAGAGGGATGAAAGAAGGGACAAAGAGAAAGAGAAGAAAGGAAAAAAGGGATAGGACAGGGGGTCAGGGAGGATAAAGAGGAAGAAGGAGAAGGAGAGGAGGAGGAGAGAAAAGAAAGAGTTAACATAAGGTCAAGAAATAAATGAATGTTATGAAGAAAACTAAAGCAGGATAGAGGAATAGAGGGTGACTGGCAGGGCTCTTTTAGCTAAGATGGTTAAGAAAGGCCTCTGTAAGCTGATAACATTCAAGCATGGAACTAAGCCAACTAAGAACAAATTATAATCAGGGGTTACATTCAGCATATTTTAAAGTCAGGGCATCGGGGCACTGACCAATCAAACGGGACACTCAGTTAAGCAGGACAGATGCTGGTCCAAACAGCCAGGAGAGCCGTACACCAGTGCATCCCAGCTGAGTATCAGCCCTGCTTGTGATACACCCTTTCCTCCATGAAGCCTCCAAGGGCCGCCAAGGTGGGACATTATCTCCCCTTCCCTCAGCTTTGAGCTACTCTGACCCAGTTTTACCTCCTTTAGTGCTATTTTGGGTTTCCAATAAAATGCCTTAAGTGGCAGAGCGAAGCTGAAACACACCCAGCAAAGATAATCAGGATGGTGGGAGGGCTCAGATCCACACCACGTGAAGAAGAGTTGAAGGCATACATTGGAGAACATGGTCATGGTTATGACCACAGTTTTAACATCTCTGAAGGGCTCTCACATAGAAGAGGAATTAAAGCAAAGGTAATCAAAGTATGGCCCATAGTCTTCAGGAAAATTATCCATGGGAACCTTTTTAAAATAAAGATGCCTAAGTTTCCTGCATTAAAATTAGAGAATCATTGGATTCAGTATTTTCTATTTAATCAAGCAGTTGAACCAAAGACATGTATGGATATGACAAAGAGACACATTTAAGGTATATGTACTAAAACCTTTCTAAGAATTTGATTAGTCCAAAGACATAATGGGCTGCAATTAGATGATCACTAGTTAGAGGCACCGAAGAATGGCCCTGAGCAGCACTTCTAGAGATGAGACAAGACCTGCAAAGATGGGCTTTCAAGTCCCCTGTAACTCTGATTTCATATAATCCGGGTCCATGATAATTGAGTTTGGTTATTTAAACTCAGTAAAGGGTTTGGCTAGTTCCTTTTACGCTAATGAAGCAGTATCCGAAATAAAAATGAGCCTAAAGCCAGGTTCTTTCTTTCCCATATAGAAGTGGGATAACAAAAACCCTCCATTATCTATTTGTTCTTATAAGGAAGGTATCAAAGCACTGGTACCACCGAGGTACCGCTGGCTCTATCACTGGCTTGAGTTTGGCAAACGGAGTTGTGCTACCATCATGGATATTTCTTTTCCCATAGAACCTGAGTAAGGGAAAGAAACAGGATTCTAGCTGGCTTGGATGTACAAGTGGGAGAAAATTCCGATAACTGAACACACCCACCACTGAGCCCAGTGCACTGTGTGCCATGACGACTAGCGATGTCAGTGCTACCTCCCACTACCAAAACTCTACGATTCTGTCAAATCTGTGATTCTGTGCTACCGCAGAAGACAGTGGAAATAAACAACATTATGTCCTCTTACCTCCTTTTCAGAAAGAGTTGAGATATCACCCTAGACGTGTCTTGCATTTTAATAGATTGTCAAAAGCCATTCACTTACCTGAGGCATCGCTTTGCAGGATCCCATAGAAATAGAGGCTCATTACACACCACAGAAGTCCCATCCTGTCAAGATAAATGCAAAGGTAAGAGAAAGTACGGATTACTCTCAAGTGCTTAAATATATTAGTGCACATGCGTGCCGGCTGTTGACTGGGAACCGTTCTAAGAATTTCACAATATTACATTTAATTGCCCTAACGAAGCAGTAAGATAGGCTTTAAAAAAATTCCCCATATTACAGATTAGAAAACTGAGACAAGGGTAAGTAATATACCCAAGATCCTTTGCCTGGAAGTGGTAGAGTAATAACGATCATATTCCAGGAGCCTAGCTCTAGAGCTACCTCTTAGTCACTCAACTACAACTGCCTACTTAAAAACTATTCTTTGGATTTTTGGTTCATCAAAGTCGCATTTCTGGAAGATAAGTTTGTTCTTCTTACCCTTCATCACATTCCCTTGGTCTAGTCTCAACTGGAAACATTTTATAATCCAGGCACTCTTCCTTCTTAGTGACCAATAGGAAGTCCAGGAATCCTGAATGCAGGCTTGGCTGGCAGTCCACCACACTGTGAATTAACAGCAAGGGGAAATACACAAGCCTCACGCCCCGCTGTGCCCACTCGCCTCTTCTCACTAGACGAGATGAACGATGAGTCCAGTTCCGTGATCTTTAGCCTGGCTGTTGATAAACCAGCTGAAACAGCCAACTAACAAGAATGGTACCCTTATAGCTGGCTGTGTGATCTTTAATGCAGAAGGCCTGGAGATTTAACAACTCTGTGAAATATTTATTTCCCTACTACTCTATACATATCTGGCCTTTGATAAAACCTCTGTAGGGTTATAAATACTGAAACCCGAACATGACTGAGAAATTTCGTACTCAGCACCCCCACAATCTGTCTTGAACACAACCACCACACAAGGGTGCTTAGAGAGGTCCTGGTAACTTGTCCAGACCGCATTTCTAACAAGTGACAGAGATGGGATTTATATCCGCATCTGGCTAACTAGTAGTCTATTATCCCAAACACATATACTTTCACAACCACAAGGACCCATTATTCTAAAATGTTCAAAGAGTATTTAATAAATAGGGAGACCCATTAGTAGCATTTGTAATAGGACGTTTTTAAGAGCACTAAACTGAAACAAAAGGTATAAACTGGTATTGTCCAAGCAATCCATAGCGTGTGGTCACTTTAAAGGACAACGCAAGTTTCCAACACCGTCATCTCTCTTGACCCCATGTCACCGAAAACCTCCTGTTCATACTGCACTTCTTCTTTAGCATGATTGTACACAATTCACAGGAGAGTTTATTACCTCTTAAACAATCATTTTATTTCAGAAATGAAATGTCTCTTTCTTAACACCACCATTCCCTTCCAATTCTTATACCATTACCTTAGGGAGTTGTTCTCTTGACTATTCATTCATTAATTCAATAAAACTTGCATTCAATGCTTTCTGTTTACAAGTCATTATGAAATAATTGCAAGGGCCTCTGGCAGCAAGATTTAGGGCCCTCTCTAAAGGCACTTCTCCCAGTAGAGGAGATAAACCACATGCAAACCACTTCAGCACCATCAGCCTTGAACAATACACATGCAGAGGCATTATAGGATATGCAGAGATTTATCAGACAGAAGTTCTAGCACCAAACAGAACCTAGCAGAGACTTAAAATGTGTACAAGAAATAACTGCAATACAACCTGAAGTGATAAAAATAGTCAAAGAAGACCTGATAAGTGTTATTGAAGATTAGCAAAAGAAAGAGATCACTCCAGCTAAGGCAATCAAAGAGGACTGAACCCAAGAAAGTAGCTTTTAAATTGAGTAAGAAGTGGTTTGGAAATTTAGAATTGAGGCAGAAGGAAAAGTGTAGGGAAAGAAAGTAGGTGGAAAATAATGCTCAAAGATAGGGAAGCGTAGAACGTAAATAAGAAATAGTCTATAAATAATTCAGTTTGACTCAAGCACAGGGCATTAGAAAAAGAACCACAGGAGATTTTGCTGGAAAGCAGGGGGTGTTAGGATCAGAATATGGCAAGGCCTTGAACAGTAGGCTAAGGACTTGGGATTTAATTTAAACAGCAAATAGGGAATTGCTGAAAGCTTCTGGTTAGAAGAATGATATGATCACTGAGTTGTGCCTTATGGAGATCTTTCTTCCAGGCACGTATTGGATGGATTGCCACTATATTCTGCCTTGAAATCATTTTGGCTCCTGAGTCTGTCATCACAATAATTGTTATCCTCCCAGTTTTGTGTCATCTTAAATTTGATCAACATGCCACCTATGTCTGCATCCAAGTCATTAATAAAGGTAATTAATAATTCTGTGTAATCCTTGTCAACAGAGAGCGACTAGACATTTAATTACAAATTCAGGGCACAGACATTTCAGCCCCAGTACTCAGCTATGCTAAAGCACTCTAGCCTCCCAAATTGCTTTTGGCTATTAAAAATAAAAAAAAGCCTCACACCTCTAGATTTTCCCAATTTGCCTGTTTATAAGCTGCTGAATTCCTAAGGCAACACTTAGAAGACATTCTAATTAGTGTGATTGAGAGCCTTAATTGATAATTCCATGAGTGACTGGATTATGCTGGAGGCAGCAAGGAGTCGGGTCACCAAGGTAAAGCTAATCTAATGATAACTTGTGTACAAACACAAGTCTAGGATCAATCTTGCAATGTGATGAATTAGAATAAAGCCGACTGAAAACAAAACGTGATTGTGCAGGCTGGTTTTGACAGACTGAAGGTACCAATAATAGTGGCTGGTCTGCAGTCTCTCCCAGAAGACTGGTTCATTTAACATTGCCTTGCATTCAGCCTCAGAATTCTCCTATTGTTACTAGTAATACATTTTGGTTCTTATTTCTTGCAAGGGGAGGGGCGCTAGGTATTTTCAGAGATGGAGAAACTGTCAGAAGAGCAAAAGAATCTGCCTAATAATGCATGGTTTCTCATGGTCTGAATTACAAGCTCGCTTTAGATTATTGTGATGGGGTTTAACAGCCCCGCCCTTGCTTCAAATGACTGGAATCTACATATAATAAATTTCCAGTCAGCCTTCCCTGCATTATCCATTTTATTTACTATATGATCATTGTCACACTTCTCCCCTTAGACATTAGTACTTCTCTCATATTTAATGCCAGTTTCCTAGTATAATGCCTATATCATCTAGCAAGAAGTTTCAAACACATACTTAGTTCTACGTAATCAACATAATGTTAATAATGATTGTTATACACCCAGCACTTTAACATCTTCCCAGTGTCTGCATTCTCTCGGCTTATTAAGGTTCAAGATTTCCTTACTTCTGAGTCAGTCTTAATCACTAGATTCTTTCACTAGGCCAGCAGATAACAGGCTGAAACTAGATTTGTTGCCCCAAGGCTGGTATTATTTCTGAATCATCTTTTGCTCAGCCTGCCTTTGGTACAACAGCATTTCACAAGGCCACCAGACTGTTTTCCCCTATCAGTTTCCTAATTCCATGTCCAGCTCCACAATCAGATCACAGCCACTCTTTGAATCCCACCAGCTTGGTGGGGCTTGACCCTTCAACCTGATGTATATCAACACTGTGTTCCAGGAGCCTGCATTTTGTCCCCTGTAAGGTTTTGCTCCAAGATAGATAAACTTCCTGCAACCATGAAATTGTTACCTGTTTCATTCTTGGCTGACAGATAGCCTTTGCGTTGACCTGCCCACTGAAAATCTGGACATTAACTTGAAGGCACAGACTCGAGATGGTCATCCCATGCAGGGTCAGCCCCGCAGCCAGAGCACTTCCTTGAATCCTGATCCCACCTACATATTTCCTTTCCCTTCTCTAACTCATGGATAAAGTCTGAGCAGGTCTTGCATGTATGCCCACCCAAGATAAAGCAAACAAGCCTTTGAAGGACATAGGAGAAGTTATAAATCATTCCATTTTACAGAAAATGACATAGCACTCATTAATAAATCAGTTATTTTCATTATCAAACTTTTATCTAGTTTATAGTCTTTTGAACCATAAAAGGATATTTGTGTGGAATATTTCAGAATCCAATATTTACTAATAAACAAAAGTTTCAGCAAAATGACATACAAGGCTCTGAATCTGGGTGAAATGAAATAAGTAAACTCGACCTTATCTTTCTCAATGAATGTAGCTAAAAACCTGGACAGATGTATGGGGCAACTTTTTGAGAACCCTAAAAAGTAAACAATAGCACATTCTTTTCAAATATACCCAAGACATTTGCCACGAAAAGTTATGTCATTCAGTATCAATCAACCTTAACAAATTTAAAAGCATTGAAAGTATATTCTCTAACCATAGAATTAAACTAGAAATCAGTTAAGTAAATAAATAACAGGAAAGTCTCCAGACACTTAGAAATTAAGGAATATGCTTCTAAATAATCCAGGGGTCAAAAAGAAAGTCTCAAGGGAAATTAGAAAATATTTTGAACTTAATAAAATTGAAAATCCAACATACCAAAAGGTGTGGGATGCAGTTAAAGCAGTGCTTAGAGGATAGTTTGTTGTACGAAAGGCTTACGATAAAAAAGATGAAAGATCTCAAGAAAATAGTCTAATCTTTCACCTTAAGAACCTACAAAAAGAAAACTAAACTAAGCAAGCAAAATGAAGGAAATAATGAAGAGTAGAGATCAAATTTTAAATCAGAAATACATATATAGATTAAAAATATAATAAAACCAAAATTAGTTCTTTGAAAAGAACACTAAAATTGCTAAACCTCTAGCTAGGAGAACTAACAAGGAAAGAAAAACACGTATCACTAATATCAGGAATAAAATAGGGCACATCACTAACGATCACACAAGCACTAAAATGGTAATAAAGGGATATTAAAAACTCTAGGCACATAAATTCCACAATTTAGGTGGAATGGATCAATATTTCAAAAACCTCAATCTACCAAGGTCCACCCAAACTTAAATGGACAATCTGAATGATCCTATAGTATTAAAAGAAATTGTATTTGCAGTTAGAAATCTCAAAAAAAAATGCAGATGGTTTCACTGGTCAACTCTACCAAATATTTAAATTAATAACATCAGTTCTACATAATTCCTTCCAGAAAAAAGAAGAGGACAAAATAGTTTTCACCTCATTTAATGAGATCAATATTACTCTGATTTCAAATCTACCACAGATAGCACAGGAAAATAAATGTACAGATATCCCACAACCAAACACAGTTTATCCCAGGAATTTAAGGCTAATTTCAGTATTTTTAAAGTCCAAAGAGGAAAAAACAAACAAACAAACAAAAATGATCATATCAATTGACACAGGAAGAGTACTTGACAAAATTCAATATTCACTTGTGACATAAAATCTCAGCAAACTAAAAGTAGAAGGGAACTTTCTCAAAGATCATCTACCAAAAACCTAGAGCTAACACCACATCTAATGTTGAAAGACTGAATGCTTTTCCACTAAGATCATGAGCAAGGCAAGAATATTCATTCTCAGTACTATTCAACATCATTCTAGAAGTCTTACCCAGAGCAATAAGGCTATTCACAGA